AGTGGTGCTCACTGACAGGACCAGAGGCAATGGGCACAAACTGAAACACAGGAGGTTCCCTCTGAACATCAGGAAACACTTTTTTTACTATGATGGTGACCGAGCACTGGCACAGGTTCCCCAGGGAGATTGTGGAGTCTCCATCCCTGGAGATATTCAAAAGCCATCTGGGCATGGTCCTGAGCAACTGGCTCTAGATGGCACTGTTTAAACAGGGGAGCTGGACCAGATGACCTTCAGAGGTCCCTTCCAACCTCATCCACTCTATGATTCTGCAAATATTAAAACATTAGAATTGGTACAAACATTTGTGCTTTATGCAAGACACTAAATATCTCCAAAGGAAGGGAATAGTCCTGGTTTGATATCTCTTGCAGTGATATATAATGCAAATCCCTTCTCAGTTATTCAGCAAGATCCTTAAATTCCCCAATAGCTCCCCTTTGCCCTCTTGGTAGTCTGCCAGACTTGCTAAGTCTCCTGCAAGCTTCCTGTTTCTGACTTACACTTTTGAGAACTTCTTTAGCTATCTGCCCTCATAATTTCCTTTGCGCACACTGCCTGATGTAGTTTACGCTATTGTAACCCTTGCACTAGGTGTCAACAGCAGAAGCAAAGGAGGGGTTTACTCTGCTTATCTGGTGGGCCGTTTTCTTGTTCCAAGAGTTTTTTCTAATATAAATATTAAAAAAAAACACAAGGCAGCAGCTTGTGCCCCTTCTAAAGAGTCTGGCTGTTCACTTCAGGGTCCCACCACAGAAATTATTTAACTGACAAAGAGTAAAAAAGAACAGGCCTCTGCACCCTTTCAAAGACAAAAATGCAAGGGCTGAGTGCTGACTTGTTTAGCCTTGCCAAAGGAAAACTGAGGGACACAAGGGGGGGGTCAGATCTCTTGCTATAAATACCTCAGGGAGAAAACAGTTACTCATGCTAAGAGACAATGCTGGCGTAAGAACAACTGCATATAAACTAGCTGTGAATACATTTAGGATGAATGCTGAAAGCAGATTTTCATCCACTGGAGCAGAGACCCCAGAACAGCCTTCAAAGAGGAGCAATAGCAGCGCGCATGCGCACAACGGCATCCGAGTTCAAGAACAAAGAGTTTAACAGGAGACCAGACTCTGACACAGAAGATCCATTTTACTGTTGCAACTTTGTCATCTGTTCCACCCATGCATAAACCTCATGATGGCCTGTACTGATGAATGACAGTCAAGGACACTGAAAAATTCCTGCCAGCCTATACCTCATAGAAAAGGCATCAGCATGACATACCAGAGTTTATCAGTCTCAGAAATAATCCCAATAAAGCATGTATATAACTCAACCTTCAATGTGTGGCTGACACACAGATTTTGTACTCAGAGAGCTATTTCAGCTAGGGGTTAGATTTCCCACCCCCCTCGTGCTCCTCTGGAAGTTTTTCCAATGTAGTCACTGTAGAGGCACAGTTAAATGGGTACAGACATCTCAGAAAGTGACATCATATATTCTTCCTTCTTACACTGAAGTATGCAATGCAGGCAAAAGGCACTTTTATACCATTATAACCGCAAATGAACTGGGAAAGTCATATGCTTCAACTAGACTTGAACCACTAACACAGACTCATGTGAAGTCAAGTTCTTGAAAGAAATCTTTAAGAAACAAAACTAAACCCTTGTTCCAGCACACAACCTATTCTTACTTCACCAAGAAGGTTTTGTTTGTTACCTGGTTTTCAATGCCAGAAGGTAACTTTCTTTCAGAACAGACTGCCCTGTAACATTGTGTTGTGAAATTTCACATTCATAATTTTATTATAATCTGAATAGAGGCAGTATCTGAAGAGCAGAGAAAATGACTATACAAAGAATTTATAGAACATTCATTTACATACTGGAGACCTTTTGATGCTTCTTTACAGTTTCAAGAAAAAGGCAAAAATTTTCACTAGTAGATAAATCCAAGAAGGAAACATTAAATTTTTAATGATACTGTTGGATACATGGAAACCATTTAATTAAAAACATGGCTTTTAGCATTTTTGTAGTTTAACACTGTACGATTATAGTAGTACATTTACTAAGCAGGTTAATAGGTGTCTGGCTAAATACATGTGTCAACTTGCTGCCATTAGTTATGAAACTGCATATACACATCTAACAAAAACCTTGAAAGAAAGTGCTGTATTAACTATTTAGTCTTGTATTTTCCATGAACATGTTTCGTGAATATCTTTCTACACACACTACACAATGGTACATACTGAACTATTTTGCTTTGTGCATTTTTTAATTCATTAAAAAGCAGAAGCACGTGGCAATATACCATCCAAAGGAATGCATAATAGAAAACCTCCCTTAGAAACAGGACAACTTCTTTTTTCCCCGCTTACCAAGTAGAGCTAAACTCCCAGGAAATACCACCAGGAGTGTCAGCATTCAATTCCTTATGCTCTTGAATTCAGCAGGCCTTGAGAAAGCACAAGAAAAAAAATAAGGCCCTGAATGGAAATGATAATACATGGAGAAAAAAAAGACACTTTATTTTCAGCCCAAAGGCCAACACTTGGTGTCTAACAAGACACACTAAAATTTAAGTATCATCTACAGAAGTGAAAAAATATAGTAAAAAATTCCTCCTCATTTCAACGTTCACAACACATCAGATTTAAATCTAATTGAGACTTAAATCTAATTGAGATGTTAGCTGAAGAAATTCACCGGGCTCCAACTGGCTGTTGCCAGTTAGGCAACTGGGTTCTTGGTGCATCAAAAGAATATTAAAAGGGAACTTGTCCTCACATGTTTCCAAAAGATCAAAGTTCCTAAAAGTAAGAACTGCATTCTTTTTTGGATGGTACATAAACACCGTTTAAGTAGTATACCTCTGTGTCAGAAGAACAGAATTATTTGGTACAAATCGGAGGCACTTGCCTTTGTTGCTTCAACGGTAGCTACTACGCTTTGGATTGCTTCACCCTTCCACACACATCCAATGCCCACTGCTACTAAGGCACCACTTCCTGGTCCAAATACATTAAACTTCAAATCTTTCTTCTCTCTCCTTCTCTTCCCCACCCCCTTCCTTTTAAGAAGTATAAAGTTATTTATACAAAATCCACAGTTACACAAATAATTTGTTAACACTTTGGTCACTGCACAAGGTTTCCACGGTCCTAATACTTTAGGAAATATGAAGAGAGCTGTTAATAAAAAACAGATCATAATTTATACAGGACAAATGTCGTTCAAATTGGTGGAAGCTTCTTACCATGTAGCCCAACCAGAGTTTCCCATTCCATTTAACCATTATTTAGTAAAAGTGGGTAAAAGGATTAAATCCTTCAAGTGGGTACAGTTACTAGTTAATCCAGTGCCTCATGCACCGGCACGCCAAATTCAGCATGTCATTTTACTCCTCAGGTTATTAATATAATGTTGACAACACACATCAAAGAAATAGAGGCAATGAACCTTTACAGCACTGTCACACTGAAGCTGCTTTATTAACATCAGTTCTGATACGGGGGTCTCGTACTGCTGTTTTTGGAGTGAATGGGAATTTCACAGTAGACCTCAGTGGCTTACTCTCCTCGTGAAGATTTCCACTGTAACCTACTGAATCAATTTTTTGTAAAGCTAACTAGCACTTTGTTATGCATTTAAAATAGTGATGTGTTTAGAAAGATACAGAGGGATGTACAAGCGTGATGGCTGTAGAAATCATGACATAAATGCTCTCAAGAAATGGGACAGAGTAACAAAATAAATTCCATGCCCTTTTGGATTTCCTGACTCAAGGAATTATTAAAAAAATTATAAACCAAAAATAGTTCCTACAGGTTAAAAAATAACAACAAAAAAATCCTCAAAACTCCAATAAAAAGGGGGCCAAAAGAATCCACAAATATAATTATGTATTAGGTAGGGGAACAAATGTTACTACCAAAACAGTATTGCAGAGACAGGAAATGAGAAGTATCTTGTCACTGTAAGACAAAAGTCAAAATATGAGACTCTATTGCCTATAGCAAGGCACAGGTTATACAGACTTTTACTTAGGCTAAATAGCGCTAAAGAGACAAAGCTCAACAATGGTCTAGGACATATCAGGCTCTGAGATCTACTATAAATAATCTGGTACAGGTGAAAATATATAAATTATAAAATTCTCTTCTTTGCTTTTCCCGCAATTTTTATCCTGTAATTATTAAAATACAGAATCTTCCCTGCTTAGTTCTCTGTATAAAAAAATAGTAATACAAAAAAAAGCCAATTGCAGGACAGATTTCCATGCAACTTTTTTATTTTGCCACCTCTCCCCTATTTAAAATTTTCCTAACTAAACAGCCCAGCCTTCTTAACACTAAATACAGAGCAATCTCCCTGAATATTCCACATTGCCACTCCTTTCTTATCAGAAATCAACTTGCCCCAACCTTCCCTTCACATACATCTTCCCCTTTCTCCATTCAGTTCCCATCACTGATCACATAAAGATGAAGGGAAGAGCAAATAGTCTTCCTCAGACCATCATTCTCTTAAGAGCATGTATGTAAGGCCTATAGCTACCATTGATGCAACTATGGCAAGTGTCTTTGTGGAGGTTATACAAAGCATTTTCTGCACAAAAAAGCAGCACAGCCTAGTGACTATTTCTGCTCCAATAGATGATGAGAAACAGCATGTTAAAATGCATTAGAAACCCTTCAGGAGAAAAGTTTTTAATTTATGTTTCATTCAGGCATGGGCTACACGGGTTCGGGTGGCACCCAGCTTCTTTTGTTTTGTCCTTTGATATAAGAACAAAGAAATAATGCTTTGTTAAGTCAGAGGCATCTTCAAAGAAAAGGCTGAACTCCTGCCAATACAATGCAGACAGACTGTCCTCTGCTTTCCTTCTTGGGAATGACAAGGTTCAGATGTTACTGCTGAATAGGCTTTCTCCCTCTCACAGTGCTTTCCTTCAGTGAAGTCAGTGAAGAGCTCTGAGTCAAGGATGGAAAGGCATCAGATCTTCTTCTGGGATCCAATCATGACCTTTGATACAAAGTTCACAATGGCGCTGGCAGGTTGCTCTGGATCATGCTCTGCAAATAGGTGGCATATGTTGTCTGTCGCACTGCCTTGCTTCCTGGCAACGAACCCAAATACTCTGCAAGGGCAACAATCACAGAATATCAGAGAACAGACAGACAGGCACTGGCCTCGTTTCACAAGGCAAAAAAGATACTGCAGAAATCAAAAGCACAAATCAGACTTCATCTGTTCTGATGGACAAGGTCCTGCGTGACTGCTAAACACAGTGGTCCAGATGCAGCCAACTCAGGGGCTCCTGAATGGCTCAGGATGGCCAGAATCAGGGAAGGAGATTGTCCCCTTCCTTCTACTCTGTCTATATTGCATCCTGTACTGTTTGCTGTCAGAGACATGCTGCTGACCCTGGGGATGTATTTAATCTGAGTCAATACTGCTGTTCTCTTACCTACCTTGGGGGCTGTGTGGTGCGGTGTGTCAGGAATTGCCTGAAGAGGTTTTGAGGGCCACACATCTCAGTGGACCGAGTACTGGAAATAGGACTTACGCCATCTATTTCTGTTCCTTTCCAGAAACCAGTGCCTGAGCTCTCTCTGTTTAGGTTTTTTTCTTTTGGTAAAAGGGGGATGACGACGTTTGCCTTCAACAAAAAACACTTTGCAATCCACTGGTAATTATATATTTATGCCACACATTAGCATTACTAGGAGTGTTTTCATCTATGTGCCATGTGTGGGATTTTTTTTTTTTAAAAGCCATCAGTCTAAGTAAGACAAGTAAGCTTGTGTTAGTGTTGCTGGACAAGTGGAACACAAAACTGAGTACCAAACGGCTCTGTTTTCTTTTCTGAAACTTTAGTCAGATCACAGACCTACGACATAAATAAACCACACTAGCTCTGTATCCAGACATCCCACCATCACATAAGTAGGTCCTGACTTGCAGAGGTGCAGATGAAGTAACTAGAGTCTAATTACAGAGGGCAGAGAGACTTTTGTCTCTGAACAGCTGCTTTCCCTTCTACATCCCTGGCAAAGATAATTTAGAACACTAAGAAACTGATCACTGTAATGATATTCCTAAAACATTCAGTTAAAAGAGACTCAGACAGGTGTCCACTTACTTTGCAGAAAGGCCATCTTTCATCCATCTTGTTGTCCATTAAGAAAGCAGTAAAAAAAAAGAAATGGAGAAATAAAAATGAAACCTATGTTAGTTTGTTTTTTTTTTAGATCAATAATACAAACATATTAAAAAATACTGCTTGTCTTCCTTACTTTCTGTCCTGTGGATCCAAAGCACAGAAAATAACAGTGTTGACTGGATAATGTCGCCGAAAAAAGAGTCTGGATAGGAAGAAATAGAACAAATTTTAGGAGCAGTTAAGATGCTTAAAATTTTAAGTAATAAACAGATCTGAAAAATAAATTATATTTAATCTAAATTTAACAATTATGATATATTCTTTTTGCTATCTCTGAGTGACTTGGAAAGTCACCTGAACTGCTCCAACCAAATAAATCCATATTTAGATTAGTAACAAGTTTTTGAACCAAAAGAAAACTGACCCTCAAGCTAAGAAAAAGAACTAGAAGTATGAAATGCATTTTTTCTAAAAACTGACTATTTAGATATTATGTCAATGGGAAATACAACTTCTTGGAATTTGTGAATAATTTGATTATATTAAGTTTCAAAATATGAGCACTCTTAGGCATTATAATTTAAGGTTCTGTCCTTGATCTGCTATAAACGCTTGCAGACCCCATGGAATTAAGAAGCCTGGCTTTTTTTTTTTTTTTTTTTTACCTCTTAATGAATTCCTGTTGTCCCTCCTTTGTTATTGTCAGTTTTCAAATCTAAAGACTTTGTGGAAGCCTTAGTAGCATTCAATAAAAAGTAAATATAAATTAACTTTTTATCATAGTATTTTACAGCAATCCAAAGCACTATTTCAAATACTTGAGTTACACAGTGTCTGCTTAGGCCAACTCTGTTCAGTGATACTGGTGAAAGATACTGTGAAGATAAATTATTTCACTGAATAGGTTGAATATCAAATGCTAGCAAAGCCGTTACTTTCTCTTTTAAAAAGAAATAACAACAATGAAAAAAATGCCATGGCAAAGTGACCTTCCAGAGGTAAAAGCTGCCATGTGGAAGTAATGTTCATAGCTTAAAACATTCATTATCCAGTACTGCAGACAGCTGACACTGTCACCGTCATTCTTTAGACAATCCTATTATCCTCTGACACAAAGACTGCAGAAAATAACTAGGAAAATCAAATCAACAGCAGCCAACACTTGTTGGGGACAAGGCTGGATATTCTCTTCCCACCTCTCTTTTGCTTACTTTCTTTGATTATCTGTCAATGTGATTCCCTGCGCAGACACCTTGAAATGGACAACGGTTGAGATGGGAGAAGGATCTTGCATCAGTGTCAGGCTTAAGGCTTTCTGTACTGCCTGGTAGCCCGTGAGGGACTCCATCTCCACTGAATTCAGGTACCAAACGTTACACGCTGTAATGAAAGAGGGGAAAGACTCTGAGAGGTCATTACCCAACAGCAAGCAAACATGTGTCTTCTGAACAAAACCAAACAAAATATAAATTCTCCACCTTCCCTTCCACCACAGGGAAGACTGGCAGCAAACTACCAAACCTTTTACATGTGCCTCACCTTGTCCCACTGTTGCTTCATAGTTCAAGACTATAATTTTGGAGCTCATAGGCCTTTTGCTGTTCCTTTGGTTTTTAATACCTTTATATTTAAGCCAATGACTATATTTATCTATTACCCACAGATCCTGAAATTTAAATAAATACAAGACAGCAGCAGAGAGAGAGAGGCCACTCATAGGTACAAGTACAGTTTTTTATTCCTGAGGGGAAAAAATGGGAATATTTTGCTTTTAAGTTCAATTACAGCAGCCAGTAAGAAAATACACACTTTAGCAGCATACATTCACGCGTTTTACACGTTCAAATGGTATTTAAACTATTTTCAAAGGAAACCATTCACTTGTTTGGCAAGACAAGAATGTTTTCACCCCATAAAGAATTGAGGGTTGCTGCAAAGCTCACTTCTCATTAATTCCATGGTGTTTTGTATGTTTAGCAATTTTAGGGCAAACAAAACAACTTCCACATTGAGAAAAATTACCAACTTATGTATTTTTAGGTCTATTCCTTATCTCAGCATGCACTTATTTTTAAAAGCCCTATTCCTCTCCTAGAGATATTAGTAACTTCTGAAGTATCTCTATAAAATAGAAGCTCATTGGTTTCTAAGGCTACCAAACAGTTAATTTTTTTAGCTGGTCTCATATCAAACCTGCAGCAAGCACTAGGAAAAGAAGTACTAATATTATATAGCATTATATAGTAGTACTATAGTACTGTATAATACTGCATAGTACTACATGGTAGCAGTGCCATATAACATAAAGTATTAAGTCTTATTATTGTATAGTATTAATAGAATTATTCACATGCTTAAATATTTTGGGACTGTGGTATAAAATCAATTTACAAGCAGATTAAGAACATTTTTTAAACTGAAAAGACCTCTTAGTCTTACTCTACAGCAAAAGCAAGAAAGATTAAACACATCCGTAGCTGAACAGTGGTACCAACAGACTTTGTGTTTTGGTAAAAACCTTTGTGTAGGTATCCAGGACAGAATTTACAGCTCTGGCAGCTGACACATGCAAATTACCATGCTAGTATTTAATTTGTTTAGCAGTTTAGCTTGGCTTGCCAACCTTACTATGAAAGCAAAGATTAAATAAAATCTAATAGCTTCGCTTTTCACATGGCTATTCTGTAATCTGACTAAAGCCTTCTCCTATGACTATCTACATAAAATACACAGCTAGACACTGGCACTTTCAAAAGAACCAAGCAATCGTACAGTTAAAGACTGCATAAGCATAAATTTGATTCCAGCATGATGATCAGCCCAATAACTTCAAGCTCTGGAGTCTGTCAGTGAAAGAAGGGATCCAGAGATCTGATTTATTTGATGTGTAAGTGTAAAATTTCCCAAACGTATTTGCACATTGGTGTGATAGTGTCGATAACCCTTGTTTGAATCAATTACTATACAATTCATGCATAGAGGAATTTAAGACAATGAATGGCAAGTTCAACGAGGTGTTCCTTGCTCAACAGCCTTCTGTCATGTCTATCCAAATTGTAAATAACATTCCAAACCATAAGCCCTCCTCTTCTCACATCATTACTGTGTATGTTTGGTACAGATCTAAAGCTCTTCATTATCCTGTGAGCCTTTCCCACCACAGGAAACTTGCCTTGTTTCACAGTCACACTCCTCACCACTTCCGAGACCCAGATGAAGGGTTTCCCTTCCTTGTCTGCCACATATTGCACTGGTGTCAATACACTGTGTTCAGGTTTTGTTTTTAAATGAAAGAGCCAAGCATTTTGTCTAGATTGCCCTCAATGTGATAGTTCAAAAGCAATCACCAAATACAGTAGACTCCTTTACTTCTATATCACAAAAAATAATAAATGGAACCTTTTTCAAAAGTGTTGGCAAGGGCAAAAATGTCAGCTTAAAAAGGAGATTACAGGAAAGGAAAGGTAATGAGAAAGGCTGAAAGATTTCTCCTTTAAGAACATCATGCATGGTTTGATGGGATATTGAATAAGAGCAATCCCACAGAAACCATGTTCAAGGCTAGAGCAAAAGGAAGACATCCATCTTTCGTGCAATGCAGCTGTCCTGCAATGTTGCTGCTCTCGTCTTCCACAGGTGGCATTTTGTAGTCACATCTGACCTACCACCAACAGCTACACAATGTGGCCATTTCGAGTAACTCCTGCTGCTTTTAGACTGGGAATGTGCTTTGTTCAGAATGCTGAGTCCCTTGACCGTATTAATGGAAACAGATATGAGGAGCTGGGTTTTATTTGGGGCAGAAAATTCTGCTGCCAAACAGGAAGGTTAATAAAGCAAGGTCTGTTCTAGGGAAAAGCTGCTTATCTGTATAGTTTCTAGTCTTCAATTGTCACTCTCTAGGAAGCAAAGGATTTCTGGTCAGCTTCTGCATTTAGATAATGACTGGAAATGGTTTTTCAGATAGCTACAAAAAACGATCATTCTAGGAAAACACATCTTCATTTTTTTGCTTGCGGAGTGGGAGAAGGGTGGGGTAAAGTAGTAGGGCAGGGAGAAAGTGCATCTGCTTTGACTAAACTGCAGGTGCTCACACAAGCTCAGATAGTTGGAAAAGAAACAATTTACATGTTTCAGGTCTGCACTTCAGTGTTGAAGTCCACAACCTGAATGTCTCTTATGACTGGAGAGGGACCTCTGAAACATGGAAAATCAGTGGGAAATGATGTATCAAGGCAAAAAACCCTCTGAGAATCTCTCCTATCTAATTTATCTATTCTGGTTCCAAACCCTTGTTTAAAAACAAGAACAACAAGAACAACAAAACAGGGAAAAAATAAATGTACTAAGTTCCCCAAATGATCCACAATGTGACAGCCCCCATAAGAAGTTATCTGACTACTGCCCCTACTGAAGTAAGAATTATTTCTTTTTCTTTGAAAAGCATTGCCGAAGCAAGGAGAAACCAACATTTCTCAAAAGACAACACATGCCCCTTTTGTTGGGTTTTCAAGAGGGAAAGTTCTACAAAAATTCATTCTCCTTGTTTTTTTCCCTGTTGGCCACAACAAACACCACTAGCACTGGCAAACAGAAAGGCCAACACGTGCTCACTGCTGGCACAGCCTCG